AGGAAGGAGGTGTGGGACACAGGACAGCTGTGGAGTGGGACACAGGAGCAGGTGGATCCACAGGGAGGTCAGAAAGGAGAAGGTGTGGGACAGGGAACACAGGAGCAGGTGGATCCACAGGGAGGTGGGGAAGGAGAAGATGTGGGACAGGGGACACCTGGGGGGTGGTTCCTGAGCCCCCACCGTCCCCCCGAGGTCCCTACCAGGAACGTGGGGGTCCTCCAAGCCCGTTGGGATCTTCCACTGGTCCACCTGCAGCTTGAGGGCGTTGACCTCGTCGATGTCCCCGGGGACCCTGCAGGGGGACAGGGGGGGACCCACCCGCTCAGCACCCCTGGGTGCTCACGGGGAGTGGAGCCGTTCTGGGAGCTGGGTGAGGCCACCGAGACCTCAACACGAGGCCAGTGGAGAAGCCACGGTGGCCTCAGAGCGAGGAGAGGTCCTGGGGGGGGAAGCGGCTTCCACCAGGAGAAGCTCTGGGTTGTCACCACCTTGGGGTCACCCACTGGAGGAGAAGGACACCCTGAGGACACAGGGAATGGGGTGGCTGCTCCATAGAGAGGTGATTCATGGCTTCCACCAGGAGAAGCTCTGAGTCGCCACCACCTCATGGTGACCCCCTGGAGAAGGACACAGGGGAGGAGGAGGACACCCCACAAGGAGGTGATTTGTGCCTTCCACAACCAGAAGCTCCAGGTCACCACCTCGGGGTGACTCCCTGGAGAAGAACACCAGGGAAGGACGAGGAGAACACCCCACAAGGAGGTGATTCGTGCCTTCCACCACCAGAAGCCCTGAGTTGCCACCACCTCAGGGTCACCCACGGGAGGAGAAGGACACCCCAAGGACACAGGGAAAGGGGTGGCTGCCCCACAGGGGGGTGATTTGTGCCTTCCACCATGAGAAGTCACCACCTCGGGGTGACCCCCAGAGAAGGACACAGGGAAGGAGGAGGAGGACACCCCACAGGGAGGTGATTTGTGGCTTCCACCAGGAGAAGCTCCAGGTGGCCACCAGAGAAGGACACCCCAAGGGCACAGGGGATGGGGTGGCTGCCCCACGGGGAGGTGATTTGTGGCTTCCACCACCAGAAGCTCGAGGTCACCACCCCCTCGAGGCCTCCCCGTGGCCGTGGGGTGGCTTTACCTGAAGATGCCCTCGGTCTGGTCACCGTTGAGCGCCAGGACCTCCTCGGACAGGCGTGTCTGCACCCAGGGCAGCTGGCGCTCGGGGTAGCGCTCCTTCTGCAGGTGGATGATGTCCTGCAGGGAGCTGCCAAACATGGATGGGTTGAACACGGCGTTCTTGGCGTGCCGGATCTCCTCGATGTTCGGCTTCTTCAGGCCCTGCCGGGGGACACCGCGAGGTCACCGGCGCCGGAGGGGGCACCATGGGGTGGGGAGGGTCCTCCTCCATCCCATCACCACCACCCCACCCCCCAAGCCAGAGCTCCACCAAGGGTTGTGGTGGAGCCACAGGTGGAGGTGGTCGAGGTCTCCAGATGGGTCCCACCATCCCCCACCATCCTGATCTGGAAGCAGATCCAGCCCTGGGGGTGATCCCAATGGATCCTGGTGGCACCTCCACACTGGAGGATTTACACCAGTGGGTTGTCCAGGAGGAGAATCCACAGCCTTGGGATTCTTTTGGAAAAGAGCTCTTGGAAAGCTCTTGGAAAGCTCAACACTGGTGGCTTCCACCACCCACCATCTTGATCTGGAAGCAGATCCAGCAGATCCCAATGGATCCTGGTGGCACCTCCACACCAGAGAAGCTACACCAGTGGATTGTCCAGAAGGAGGAGTCACAGCCTTGGGATTCTTCTGGAAAGCTCAGCACTGGTGAGTGGATTCTTCTGGAAAGCTCAAGATGGTCCCACCATCCACCATCCTGATCTGGCAGCAGATCCAGCCCTGGAGATGATCCCAATGGATCCTGGCCAGGCTGGAGGAGCTAAACCGGTGGATTGTCCAGGAGGAGGAGGAGCCACAGCTTTGGGATTCTTCTGGAAAGCTCAACACTGGTGAGTCCCACCATCCCCCACCTTGATTTGGAAGCAGATCCAGAAGGTCCTCAGAAGATCTTCAGAAAGCTCCCAGAAGGTCCCTAAAAGGTCTTCAGAAGGTCTCCAGAAAGTTTCCAGAAGGTTCCCAGAAGGTGCCCAGAAGGTCATTAGGAAGTTTCCAGAAGGTTCTCAGAAGGTCTCCAGAAGGTCTGCAGAAGTTTTCCAGAAGGTTCCCAGGGACTCTCCAGAAGGTCATTAGGAAGTTTCCAGAAGGTTCCCAGAAGGTCATTAGGAAGTTTCCAGAAGGTTCCCAGGAGGTCCCCAGAATGTCATTAGGAAGTTTCCAGAAGGTCTGCAGAAGTTTTCCAGAAGGTTCCCAGGAACTCTCCAGAAGGTCATTAGAAGGTTTCCAGAAGCAGCCCAAGTGATCTTTAGAAGGTGCCCAGAAAGTCTCCAGGAGTTCTCCAGAAGATTCCCAGAAGGCCCCCAACCCCTCTGGACGATCCTGACTGTGACTCCTTCCCAAACTCCCCCACCCTTCCCACCTTCCACCCTCCAGCAGCCCCTCCCCAACCCGGGGGGGTGGAATGACCACCCCCTCCAACCTCCTCCAAGCCCACCCCACCGGTGGGTACCTTCTTGGCCCCGGTCAGAGCCGCCTTCTGGAGTTTGTTGTAGCAGTACTTGGCGTAAGTGCTGATAGCCACCCCTGCAAGAGAAGATGGGCGTGGGTGGGATGTCACCTCCAGGCCCTGGAGGGGCTCCTGTGACCCCCCTTGGATGTCCATCATCCCTACCCCCATCACCATCCCCAGTGGGGGTTGAGGAGCACAAGGGACCTGGTGGAACCTTCTGGACCTTTCCCTCATCCCTGGAGACCTGGTGGAACCTCCTGGACCATCCCACAGTCCTGGGGACCTGGTGGAACCTCCTGGGCCATCCCACAGTCCCGGGGACCTGGTGGAACCTCCTGGGCCATCCACTCAGCCCTGGGGTCCTGGTGGAACCTCCTGGACCATCCCAGAAGAAGCTCTGGAGACCTGGTGGCACCTTCTGGAGAAGTTCCAACCCCTCAAGGGACATTTTTTTGGGGTCCCAACCAAACCTGGGGCCTTGGGACAATCTCCTTGTCCCTTCATCCCTGGGATCCAAGAGTTTTTTGGGATGGTTTTTGGGGGATGTGCAGGGATGGGGTGGGAGGGGTCTGATGGAAATGACTCGTGAGACACCCAGATCTGGAGCCCACCCAACGTGGATCCCCTTGGATCCATCTGGGATCCAGCTCTGGAGGGTGGATTTGATCCCATCCTCTCCAGGGTCACCCCAAACTCTTGGATGACCCCAAATCCCTTCCTTGACCCTGTTGAGGTTTCTCAACATGGATCCCCTTGGATCCATCCTGGATCCAGCTCTGGAATTCCCCCAACCCCAGAGGGACTTTGGGAAAAGGGGGGGGGTGGATCCCAAATCCCTCCCTTCCTGCCAGGAACACCTCGGGGTGTGGAAAACCCCTGGATTCCAAAGGGATTGGCTTAATTAAATTAATTTGTCAGGTTAATTATGATTAAATTTATGTGTTTGTTTATATATAACAATATCTATGACCTGTACATTAATATATAATATTATATATATTATTTTATATATATTATATTATTATATTATTATTCATCATCATGGCTAGGCTTCACGGACGAAGATTTGAGAAGGGCATCATTATATATATAATATATGTTATATATATTATTTATATTAAAAAATGATATATATTTATTGATTATATTAGATATTGTTACATATCTATATATCTCATAGTAATTGTATGATTTATTTATTATTATATATCTATCCATAGTCGATATTATTTATAATAATCTAAATCTAAATGTTACATTAATTATGTATTAAATATTATGAGATATACTATAGATAAGAATATTAAAAATAATTATGTTTGATTGTATAGTTAATTTATGGAATATAAATAATATATTTTCTAATGCTACACATAAATATGGGAATATAAATTATTAGAAAGCCAGATATTGGGAAAGACAGGTATTATAAATATATATAAATATAAATATCTATATATTAAATATATAGATAAAACCCCCCTGATGCAGAAGTGAATTATATATTTATATGTAACATTAGATAGGACTTGGGAGTTAGAAAGTTATTGTGATATATAAGTATAATTTATATATTATATAAATATCATCATAGGTATATATAGAATGTGTCTGATAAGTGTAATTATGTATTTTATATGTATATAAAATATGTGTATGTACAATTTTATATTAGAAAAATAGAATGGAATGGAATAGAATGGAATATATGATCATATAAAATAAAGAGTGTAATGTGATGGAATAGAATGGAATATTATATAAATAATGTATATAATGGAATAGAATGTATATAATATATATGATGCAATATAATGTAATATATTACCTTATAAAATATATAACGTAACGTGATGTAATAAAATGTAATATATTATTATATAAAATATGTAGTGTAATACGATGTAATATACTGTGTATAATACATATAATGTGATATATTGTAATGTAATATAATATAAATAATATATAATATAATATATAATGTAATATGATGTGATATGTCATATAAAATCTATAATGTAAGATGATGTAATATAATATAAATACTACATATAATGTAATATAATGTAATGCAATATAAAATAATGTAGTACAATGTAATGTAATAGAAATAATATACATAACGTATTGTAATAGAATGTAATATAATATACATGTTATATATAATGTAATGTAACAGAATGTATCATATAAAATATATGTAAGATTATGTAATATAAATACTACATATAATGTAATATAATAAAAATAATATATATAATGTAGTAGAATGTAGTATAATATAAATGTTATATAATATAAAAATGTTATATATAATATAATATGATGTCATATAATGTACTATATCATATAAAATATATAATGTAAGATATGTAATATAAATTATATAATGCAATAGAATGTAATATAATGTAATGCAATATAAAATAATGTACTATAATGTAATGTAATATAATATATTATATATAATATAATGTAATATATCATATAAAATATATAACGTGAGATGATATAATATAAATACTATGTATAATGTAATATAATGTTATGCAATATAAAATAATGTAGTATAATGTAATGCAATATAATATAAATAATATATACAATGTAATGTTATGCAATGTAATATAAATGTTATATATAATATAATGTCATATAATGTAATATACAATACAAAGTATATAATGTAAGATATGCAATATAAATAATATATATAATGTAATATAATATAATATAATATAAAAGTTATATATAATAGAATGTAATATAATGTAATATATCATATAAAATATATAATGTAAGATGATGTAATATAAATACTACATTTAATGCAATATAATGTAATGCAATATAAAATAATGTAGTATAATGTAATGGAATATAATATAAATAATATATACAATGTAATGTAGTGCAATGTAATAAAATACAAATGTTATATATAATATAATATGTAATATATAATACAAAATATATAAGATATGTAATATAATATAATGTAACGCGATATAATATAATGTAGTATAATGTAATGTAATATAATGTAATTTATGTAATGTAATATAATGTAATTTATATAATAGATATAATGTAATATGTAATATATATAATGCAATGCAGTATAATGTGGCAATATATAATAATGTAGTGCAATATAACATAATATAAAATGATGTGCTACTACGTGAAATGAAAACGTGATCACATA